ACTGTGTCCACTCGGGAAACAAGTGAACCCTGAGCAAAGTCAGGCCCAGGGTGCTAGAAATTTTTTGGCAAAGGAAATGAGTAAGATTGTGAATGTAATGGATGGCTCCCTGTTTCTATTAGATGTAATTCTTAATAAAAGTTTTTACACAGATGCTCTTATGGACTCAGGGTGTTTATGCTATTCTGCCTTCGATCTTTCATTTGTCAAACGTCATAAATTACCGCGAATTCCCATCAAACCAAGGGAACTAAAGCTTGCCAAAAAGGATTCCCAAAGACAGTCCATAAACGAGCTTACTTACGTAGATTTAGATATAGATGGTAGACATGAAAGAGTTTGGGGATATGTTATTAATGGTTTAGCCTACAACATAATCCTTGGTAATCCTTGGATGAGAGCTAATGCAGTTGTGTATGATGCTTGTTGTTGTTTCATCCGATTTGGACCTCCAGGAGGGCTAAGAATGAAAGGAAAAGGTTGGGAGAATCATCTATCTCCTAATGATATGGCAAAAGTAAATTGCTTTAAGGTCAATACAGGAAGCGCTCGTCAGGTCCTTGGTTCACATTTTATGTCCATAGCAACTCGTGCACATAATGCCAAAGATACGGCGACTGAGATATTTGCGGCTTCGATTGCTGATATCAACAAAGCTTTAGAAGTCAAGAAAAAGCAGACTCGGCAGGAAATTCAGGATAGTTTGCCCCACGAAATACATGATAATGCAAAATACTTCACTGAAGATGAAAATAACGAGCTGCCACCCCATAGATTCGGAGTGGATACTAAGATTGACCTTCTCAAGGACAAAGATGGTAGAGAAAAAGAGGTGCCTTTCGGTCCCTTGTACGACATGTCTCGAGCAGAATTACTTGTACTAAGGAAAACCTTAACAGATCACCTTGACAAAAATTGGATACGAGCTAGCTCCTCACCTGGTGGAGCTCCGGTATTGTTTGCAAAAAAGCCAGGAGGCGGGCTTCGATTCTGTGTGGATTATCGGGCCCTAAATGCTTTTACAGTAAAAGACAGGTATCCACTTCCACTTATCAAGGAAACATTGAAGCAAGTTACGAAGGCCACATGGATCTCGAAAGTTGACGTTTGTGCTGCCTTCCATAAGTTAAGAGTACGTGAAGGTGACAAATATAAGACAGTATTCCGAACACGTTATGGGTCTTTCGAATGGCTAGTTACACCATTCGGTTTAACTGGGGCACCTAGTGCCTTTCAAAGATATATTAACAATGTTCTCAGTGAGTTTTTAGGTGAATTTTGTTCCGCGTACCTAGATGATGTTCTGATTTACTCTTCTGGAGATATTTCAGATCACTGGATAAAAGTAAAGTTAGTACTAAATTGCTTAGGGCTGGCAGGGCTGAAAATAGATTCTCGGAAGAGCGAATTTGCCATTAAGCAGACAAAATATCTCGGTTTTGTTATATGCTTAGGAAATGGAATTAAGGTTGACCTAGAGAAGGTAAAGGCAATATAAGTTGGCAAGCACTAACAAGCACAAAGGGAGTGCGAAGTTTTATTGGTTTTGCTAATTTTTACTGCAACTTCATCCCAAACTTTGGAGGCATAGGGGCACCCTTGTTAGCTCTTATTAAAAAGCAGTCAATTTTTAAATGGGAATCCCGACAGCAGGATGCATTCAAAAACTCAAAAAACTTTTTATAACCGCCTCAATCCTTGCAATGTGGGATGACGAAAAGGAAACAGTGCTTGAGGCCGACAGCTCGGGATATGTGCTAGGTGGATGTCTATCACAAAGAGATAATAATGGAGTCTTAAGGCCAGTTGCATATCTTTCATAAAAGTTAACACCAGCGGAAGTAAATTACGATATTCATGATAAATAAATGCTATCAATCATTTGTTGTATGGAAGAATGGAGAGGCATGTTGATTGGATTAGACAAACCATTTGCCGTCTTATCAGACCACCAGAACCTCAAACATTTTATGACACGACGTAGACTGAACGAACGCCAAATACAATGGTCACAATTCTTATCACAATTTAATTTTATGTTCCAGTTTCGTCCTGGTACTCAAGCTGCAAGACCAGATGCATTATCCAGACGAGAGCAAGATATGCCAAAGGGATATGAAGACAATAAATTATAAAGTCGAGAAGTACAATTGGTGAAAGATGTTTGGATTTGTTCAGGTAAAACCGAACTACCATTGCGACAAGATCATGGTTATAAGTCACAAAAGATACCAAATGGCATAAGCATTTTTCAGACAAACACTTTCAGACCTTATGAGATAGAGCAGTGCAAGAGGACAAAAACTTAATGATACTATATAATTGCTTGGCGAAAGGAGAACAAAGTCTGCCACCAGAGCTAAGTAATTTGAAGGTATTGTTGGCAGAGTGTAGTTTTGATACTAGAGGTGCCCTGAAGTTCCGAGATAGGGTCTGGATCCCAAATTATGAACCACTTCAGACGGCTTTAATTCAACAAACTCATGATTCTTACGTTACAAAACATCCAGGAAGAGACAGCACGTTAGCAATACTGGGTAGAAGTTTTTTCTGGCCAGGTATTTCTAAAGGATTAAGAAGATTCTGTCGGAATTGTGATGTTTGCGGACGCAGTCATGTTTGGAGGGAACGAAAAAAGGGATTGTTACGTCCATTGCCCGTACCAGATCAATTTAATAGCGAGCTAGGTATTGATTTTATGACAGATCTCCCAGCAAAATCAAAAAATTGACGCAAGGTATATGATGGTAGTGGTTGACCAATTAAAAGGCAGTGTTGCAGTTGAAGAAATGACGAGCATGAAAGTTGAAGAATGCTCTAAAGTTTTTCTTAAGCTTCATGTGAGATACCATGGATTCCCAAACCATATAACTTCGGATAGAGGATTGAATTGGGTTGGAGATTTTTGGACGGAACTGTGTCGGCTAACAGGAATGAAACAGCGCCTATCAACAGCTTTTCACCCTCAGACAGACGGGGCTACTGAAAGGATGAATCAGGAAATTCTAGCATACCTTAGAGCATTTATCACTTATGCACAGTTTGACTGGAAAGATCTGCTGCCATGCGCAATGCTAGCATTAAATAATAGAACTTCGAATGCACTAGGCATGAGCCCATTTTTCGCTGAACATGGCTATCATGTGGAACCACTTCAGCAGATAGAACGAAACAGCAATCCATCAAGGCCGGCAAAGAATGCGCAAAGGTTTGTTGAAAGACTGAGAGAAGCCGAAGAGCTTACGCAGACATCTATGGCGTCATCACAGCATAGAATGGAGGAGTACGCAAATCGAAGCCGTAAAGAATCAGAGACATTCAAAAAGAGAGATCTCGTATGGCTGAACTTAAAGATCGTAGAAACGCCACAATTATCCAAAAAGCTTTCTTGGATAAATGCAAAATATGAAGTGGTCAAAGTTGTCAATTCCCATTCTGTAGAGTTGAATACACTGTCAGACATTTGTGTTGTGAACAATGAGCACTGGAGATATTCTCGGGATGGACTTAGAGTCAGTTGTGATATAATGTACGAGAACTGAGATGTAGACTTTAGGAGGGATTATTATTTGCTAAAGTATGATGGATAAATGATGTGATCTATTTTGGACACTTTTGGAGGCAGTGCCTGACCACCTGTCTAAATACATGAGAAGCTGGTCCGTGCACTGCTATCACTTCTCAACATCCTGATCCTCAACCAATCTCTCCAACCACTACGTAGCTTACCTCAATTGTGTAGGCACAGCAACTATGTTGATCCATGATCTAGACCATGCACGTCTCTGCGTTGTGTTAGCATGGACTAGGATTATAACAATTTGGCCCAGATTCCATGTTGATCTATTTAAAAGAGCCGCAACTGACCCATGACCATCACAAATTATTGACGATGCTCAGCCTCTTCCAATAGTACCTGAGATCTCTGATATTGGACGACAAATTACGAATAAAAAACCTGAACCGGAACAATTTGTTGATAGGATTTTAAGGGCTGAAAAAAGAAGAGTCGGACGAGGTCATCATTGCTTAGTTTTGGTGAAATGGAAAGGATTTGCAGAACCAACCTGGGAACCAAGGGACAAACTCAATGATACAGAAGCATTAGAAATATTCGAAAAGAAATAGGGCCGTATGGATAACGTTGGCGAAAATAAAGGGTCATTTATAGGGCGACGAAAACTCACAAAGCGTGCATTACTGGCGCGCTCTACATTCGATCAGAATGTGTAGAACAGCTTCACAAGCTTGATCTGTGAAACGGGAGAGGAGAGTTAATGTTACAGGCTTACCGCCTTGTATGGTTAGAATCGGAGTTGTCCAATTCCATTTGTAATGGTTGTTCATGTGACATTATTTGATAGCCAAGTTCGGGTGGGTTATGTAAGGCTCAGCATATCCTTAATTGCGTAGTTCATATAATCCTTTCGTTATACAGAATATAAACTCCTTTTTGGATTCACTTGTGCGAACAGCTAGCGTGACCAGTCCTTTTACACATACAATCAGCACGACTGTCAATGTGGGAGCCACAGGCTCAACGCCCTCCCACGCACCCCTCCTATCATCCCAATCATGACTTCGACTACCCTGGCCCTAGCCAAACTCCTTACAAGCATGGCATCTGTTGGAAATATCGCGCAATGAAATGGACGCAATATTTATGGAGCGAAAGTAGAAGTTGACTAAAAGAGTTTTATGTTCGGATTACAGCTAAATGGGTGGAAAGTGTGCGCTACAAGTAAAAGTGTAAGCGACACGTAGCCTAAGCCACAGCATAAACGAGTGCGGAGCCATCAAGGCATAGAAAACCCCCAATAACCTCCTTGTACCCACGCCATACAGCCGCTCATGTCTCCAATAGGTAGCCTGAAGCGCTAAAATATTACCTATTCCAACCTTAAATACACACAAGATCGTATGGAGATCCTAGACGAAATGGAGGTCCCGAATGTCCACAATACTTTGTGTCTCCATTTACAACAGCATCACTCTAGAATATGACGAGCTCCCGGACGAACCTACAGATGACCCGTTTGACGCGCCAAACCCATCTGGCTCTTTTAGAGTGGCACTTGGAAGAAGTGTTGCAGCTGCAGAAATCCGAGCGAAGGAAGCTGAATCATTATTTGGTAGTATCGCCTCCAAGTTGGACAATCATTGGGCCGCACATAGTCACAACTCACTCACTGTTTATCAACGTTTGGCCCTCAAAAACTTCTGTGAAGATCTAGCTGAAGTTGCTACCTGTCGCTTTGATGCCTACATAAGCGGAAAACTGGTATCAAAAATTGAACCAATTCCTGAGCCTCGCCGAACTCCGCAAGCGCCGGAGACTTTATCATACGCCAAGGTGGCTCGTCCACCCCAGGGTATCCGCACCGAAAATATACACAGTTGTAGAGATCCAGCACGTCCTAGCCCAAAAACACAACTACAACGATATCGCACTGACGATCGTCTGTTTGTCCGCATACCTGATGGAGATAAGCTCAGGGTTCTCCCGGCGTACGCTATCCAGTCTCACCTGAAAGCTAAGCCAGGAAACGAAGGGCGAGTTCTAGTCAACGTGCAGTCCACAAAGACTGATTTGGCCCTTTGCCCTAAAGATGGAGAAACCTCTAAGCTTAAGGAAGAAATCTTAAAAGTGAGTATTTGAGATAATGCCGCAGTCGAAAGTGCTTGGCCATGGACTTCATATAGGATTAATCATGTCCCACGAACGTTCGGAACCATCAACGACGAACTCAAATACTGCCTTCAATTAGTCACAGCCGCTGCTATGCATGAAGCACTCTCAGCTGCCGCAGGAACAGACCCGGTAGCCATCCTTGCGTCGCGCGATAATGAGGAGAACACAGACTCCTCCTCAACAACATAGATTGTTCGCTTTCCAGAAACTCACCAACGTCTTCCACGTGCTCTCTTCCTGTTTGGTTGCCGTACGATCACAAAAACCCTCCATCGGCGCTACACAGCTGCTCAGTGCAATAGATTTTGGCTATGGCATAATACCCGAACTTGTGCGTTCTCCCTCCGTTGCCGCCTATGAAGTTTGGGCACTCATACTGAAAATGAGCATAGTAACTGTCATGAATGCGCTTTTCACATTAGTAGTCAATCGTCATCCACGTAGTGTAGCATACAGAGCCAGGGAAATGGAAACAGGTTAGTGATAAATTAGATACCACCGATCGCTACACTCACCCGTATATCACTCCTAAAAGAGATTAGCTACGGCGCTATCTGGAAGTATGTGGGATTGGTTAATTATCATGTAGATAACCTGTAACATAACATAACATAATAACACAAAAAGATACCATTTGCATCTCGTAACATTTATTGCCATAATCACCCAAGTATATTCTAAGCCCCCTGAGTAGTCACAACCATTTAATTGAAGATACCAAGTGTATACAACCATATACATCACCACCCTTCAATTGTAACCATTGCGCAGCCACAGGTGAGCACACCTGTCCACCTAGATGCGTTCACTGCCACGGTCCTCATGCCGCTGACGATGCCAAGTGTGAGCTCAAGCCTAAAGCTACGGGATCACATTTGACCAAAGCTCAGGTGAGTGCGGTCCGAAAAGTCAATGTAGATGCCCGCTTGCGCAGACAAGTAGAAGCGGGCTGTGCGAAGCCTTTTACCCAAGCCAACTCAGCATCGCGTAGTGACAAGCCGTCATTATCTCAACACCTTAGACCTGCCGGACCAAGGACAGCACAAGATACACAAGAAATTAATTCCAAGAACCCCTTCGATGGCCTTTACGTCGAAGAGGATCAGAGTAATGACAAATTGGAAGCATAATGCACAGCTATAAGTCCCACAATCCTTCGTCCAAGCCATCAACGGTCTTTTCGTTGAACGTCGGCAGAGGTGCTCTTTTTATTCGACTTTAGTTATCTAAATATTCAGACATATAGTGAATATGGCCTGTTTGTCAATCATGATGTGGCTGCGATTGCAGTTGGACGTAAATAATGTAAAGGTCTTTATCAAGTATCTTTAATATATATATATATATATACATATTTATTTATTATGGAAATACCCTCCCGTGAAGCCTACTCTAACATGTACATGTAAATGCCTTCTTTTATAGATATTCCCAAAGTCAAAGATAGAGCACCTATATCCCCTGAGATATATGTTCGATACAGAGTTGTGACCTGCCTCCCATATTATGCGCAAGTCCGAAACTACGTTCTACCATGTCCGTCAGTTCTGTATTAAGTTTTCCAGCCTTCATTTCCGTGCACATATCCTAAAGTGTAATTTGCCCGTAGATGTATGATCAGCGGCGGAAACCTGCAGTCTAATAAACACAGTTAAGACATCATGGGAATAGAGTCTAACTCTAACACTTTTGCATGAGATCGCCCTCAACGAAGCTTTTACTATATTAGCAGATATTATCTTGATTTAGGAACCTTACATTTTTCGTAATCGCGCCCGACGGATTACAAAGTACCATCCATCATATGAGACTTTCTCTCCGATTGATGACTGGTTAACCACTAGGCCTAGAGTGATCTCATATATGCGCAAAGGGGTTGGACTACGTGCAGACCAAATATATAATGATCTCTCTGGCGACATACTCACTCTCCGTCTGAAATCACCCTCAGGAAAAGCCTTGCAGATCATCAACATTTATAACGCACCTCCAGGCTCTACCGATGGTAGCGCTTTACACCATCTTCTCACACTCTCCATTCCAACCGATTGCAGCTCCATTGTGATCGGGGACCTTAACCTTCATCACGTAATGTCGCAGCCTTCCTGGCCAAGCAGTCCCTCAGCGGGTGCTGAAACCTTCTTGGAATGGGCAGATGAAAATAAATTTGTTCTACTTTTTCCATTAGATTTGGCAATGCATAACCGTGGAAAAGTACTTAACCTAGCCTTCAGGTCCGACCCTTTAGCTCAAAGTGCAAAAAGTACTTTCGACACGCATTTAGACACAAAGTCAGACCACGCACCACTCCTCACTGAGATCAATTGAGTGAGAAATGTGGAACCACTGGAGAGACTTAGAGTCGATACGCTAGACCCTGCACTACTTCGTCGCTTACTTTCTATCAAATTAGGCGGACTCTGCACACTTGCGTTTCCTCTTACCGAAAATTCCTTGGATAGTTTTGCTAAGGATATAATAGAGGCCATACGGATGGCATACGCTTCAGCGGCTCGTCGCTCTTTAGGGCACGGTAAAGGTAACCCCTGGTGGAACAAATGTTGCAAAATCGCCCGCCAGATCTTCGAATCAGTAATAAAGACCTCATTAACCGTTGAAAAGCTCAAGGAAGTGAGGAAACTTATCTTAAAACCATCAAGATAACGAAAAACACATTTTATATAGGAAAGCTCGAAAAAGCTTGTACAGGCAAGGATATCTTTTCCATATCTAAATGGCACAAGTCCACATTTAGATATTGCTCAATCCCTCTTAAAAACCCTAGGTTTCCTCAAAATCTTCCAGTAACAACACTAGCGGAGAAAAGAGAGGTCCTCATTGAAAACCTTCTTGATAACCTTGCTGAGGCAGGGGATATTCCTATGGACACTCCAGCAGTCTCGACACGTGCGATTGAGTTACGCCCATTATTAATGGAAGAGAATCAAGCGTCAATACCGAGATGTAGCAATACAGCCCCTGGCAGCGATGAGATAACTTCCGAAGTCCTGCGACACGCATGGCCCCTTATTGTAGACCACGTCTACACTCATTTCAACAGCTGTCTTTCACTAGGATACCACCCTCGTTGCTTTCGCCAAGCCATACTGATCATGATACCGAAACTTAACAAGTCGGACTTCTCTTCCCTTCGATCATACCGCCCAATTGCGCTTCTATCAGTACTAGGGAAAGGACTTGAACGGCTCCTGGCCAAACGTATTGCCTGTATTTCTGTTCGGAAAAAGGTAATAGCCAGTCAGCAATTTGGAGCTCTCCCAGGATGACCTGCAGTGGATCTCACCACCTGCCTCACACACGATGTTGAAAGAGCCCAAAACGAAGGGCGCACAGCTACTTTGCTTACACTTGACGTTAAGAGCGCATTCGAAGCTGTACTGCCAGGTAGACTAGCGCGACGTTTGCGCGAGCAAGGTTAGCCTGAGTCTCTTGTGGAGTGGGTAGGCTTGTTTGCCACTGGTCGCTCGGTTCAAATTCGTCTAGATGGGGAAACTGGCCCACTCCAGCAGGTCAACTGTGGACTTCCCCAAGGGCCGCCCGCCTCCCCAATCCTTTTCATGCTTTAGATCTCACCTGTATTTGAAATGAGGAAAATATCTTAGAGGTTCGGCTATGCAGATGACATTGCATTAATCGAGACGCGTGACTCACTCCAATAAAATTGCTGCCGTTTGATAGCCACGTTGCAGGAGGCATTGGCCTGGGGCCGAGGAGAAGGCATACCCTTTGATCCAGGAAAGATAGAACTTCAACCCTTCTCCCGGAGACGTGCAGACAAGGATCCAAACTCCACACCGTCTATCAATTGTGAGGGATTTTCCATCTCCGAAAATGCATCTCGTCCCTATACAAGGTGGCTCGGTTTCACGGATTCGTAATTAGAATTTTAATACTAATATTAATTCGCGATAAGATGAAGGGGTAGTTAATTAAAACCATCAATCTAAGAATAGCTTCCCCTATACAATAAGTCATGTAAAAAGTCATGTAAAGATATACGAGAGAGTCATGAAGAGAAGGACAAAAACACAGCCATTAATGCGAAGATATTGGCAAGAAATAGTTACAATTAATTCCGGCTGGCAAATGCTTCTACTCTTAAATATATTAGTTCAGCGTGAGAGAGATTTACTTCTCACATAACGTCATTTTTACTCATTAAATACAATACATTTGTTTACCCATCTCTTCTCCGGGAAGACCATATATCCATTGCCCAGTTCTTCATCAGCAAGACCCACGTGTAACATCTACTGCAACTAGTTGCCCATTCATCTCTTCCTAGAGAAGACCTGTCATCCCTTTGACCCATTTATTATCTTCATTCACCACCTAGATCTTCAATAGGCTATACAACGCACCTCGTGGAACACTGTTAGATCCTCATCCCTGAGACTCGGAGTGTACTTTGATAAAAATCTTACTTTTAAATGGCATGTACGTACTCTAGCTGGTAAAGCTTTGAAAGTTGCCAATGTATTACGAAATCTAGGGAACACTACCCGAGGCGTCACCCCAAGT